CGCAGTTCAGCCAGATGAGGTTCTGATTGGTCGGTTTCTATGCCAGTCAGCATCAAAATCTCCGCCTCCTAGGCAGCCATTGGCTCCTCACACTTCACCCAGATTTGGTTCTGATTGGTCGGTTTCCATGCCAGTCAGCATCTCTGGGCCTATCTCTGAGACTAATCAGAGGGGCGGGGGTGATTAGCAGCCCCCCATGGAGGCCCAAGAAAGAAAGGGAGGTGCGGCTGCTGGCAAAGCCTGGAGAGAGAGAGGCAATGGCTGACCAACAGCTGCCACGGAGGCTGTGGATCAGACCCTGCCTCTCTCTTCGGGCCTCTCTCTGGGCCTGATCTTCGGGTCAGTCAAGCCTTCCGTTGTTATGGACCCTGGGTTTTTATATATTAGATTGTAAGAATTCTACATTTATTCTAGATTCAAATCTTTTTGTCAGATATATGTTCTGCATATATTTCATTCTACCAGATAGCATGCCTTTTCATTTTTGTAACTATCTTTGAAGAGAAATTTTAAATTTTGTTGAAGTATAATTTATTTCCCCCCCCTATGCCTTTTTTCTGTGCTATTTAACAAATGTTTCACAATACTTGAGACACTAAAATTTTGTTTTCTTCTAGAATTTTTAAACACTTTTTATACTTTTAGCTCTTACATTTAGGTCTATGACTTAATTTGTATATATGGTATGAGGTAAGGGTCCAGGGTTCATTTTTTGGCACATAGCTATTCAAGTGTTACACCACCATATGATGAAAAGATTGATTATCCTTTCCCCCACTGAACTGCCTTAGCACCTTAGTAAAAAAATTACTTGGCCATATAATGTATGGATCTACGTCTGGACCTCTCCCTCTGTTCCACTGATTTGTCTGTGAATGCCATTATCAGACTAAACTGATTATAGTAGCATAATAAATCTTGAAATCAATATTAGTGAAACCAGTGAATCCTCCAAATTTTATTTTCATACAAATTTTAAAATCAATTTTTATTTTCATATAAACTTTAAAATTGGTTTGGCTCGGTGGATAGAGCATTGGCCCACGGACTGAAGGATCCTGGGTTGATTACAGTCAAGGGCACTTATTTCAGTTGCAGGCTCGTTCCTTGACCCTGGTGGGGACATGTGCTAAAGGCAACCAATTAATGTGTGTCTCTCACATCAATGTTTTTCTCTCTCTATGTCTCTCCCTCTCCCTTCCACTCTCTTTAAAAATCAATGGAAAGATATCCTCGGGTGAGTATTAACAAAAAAATAAAAGTAAAATTAGCTGGCCAATTTCTACCTCCTAAAAAAAATTTTGATGCATCTTGTGATTACAATGAGTCTTTAAATCAATCTTAAAAATATTTAGTTTTCTATCCACAAACACAGTCTCTCTCTCTCCATTTATTTAGGGGTGTTTTTTTTGTTTGTTTGGTTTTTTTTTTTGGACTTAAGAACTCTAAAGATGTAGTCATCTAATATAGGAATTTTAGGAAGACTAAAGTAACTATAGCTTTGAATTTAGAAATCAAATAGCTATGAAGAAAATAGTTCTTAAAAAATTATTTAGGAATCATTTATTTTTGGTTGAGATATAACTGACATATAATCGGTGTAAGTTTAAGGTGTATAATCTTATTGATACATTTACATCACAGTATTCAGTTTAAGTTTAAGGTGTATAATCTTATTGATACATTTACATCACAGTATGACTACCAACATAACATTAACTAACACCTCCACCATGTCACACATTATTTCATTCTGTGTTAAAAACATTTAAGATCTGCTGCATTATCTTAGCTCTAGTCCGTGATGGCAAACCTTTTGAGCTCGGCGTGTCAGCATTTTGAAAAACCCTAACTTAACTCTGGTGTTGTCACATATAGAAATTTTTTGATATTTGCAACCACAGTAAAACAAAGATTTATATTTTTGATATTTATTTTATATATTTAAATGCCATTAAACAAAAAAAAATCAACCAAAAAAATGAGTTCGTGTCACCTCTGACACACGTGTCATAGGTTCACCATCACTGATCTAGTCTCTTAGGATCTTTGAAGTATATAATTGGTAACCACAATCATAATGCTGTGCATTAGATCTCCAGAACTCATTCATTTTCTAATTATAAATTTGCAACCTTTGACCAACATCTCCCCAATCTGTTGATTTTGTTTACAATATTCTCTTATTACCCCTATAATATCTGAAGTATCTGTAATGGTATCTGTAGAAGATAAGCACTTCCTGATATTGGTAATGTGTCTTTTTCATAATCAATATTATTTTATTTATCTTCTCAAGAACTAACTTTTGATTTCATTGGGTTTTTTATTACTTCCTTTTTTTCTTATCTTGGGTTTAATCTGCTCTTATTGTTTTAGTTTTTAGTCTTAAAGTGAAAATTCAGGTTATTGATTTGAAACATTTTCCTAATGTAAGTATTAGTTATAATCTCCCTTTAAGCACTGCTTTTACTGCATCCCACAAATTTTCAAAGATTGCAAAAGATAGAAAATAACTTCTGTAAAGCAGATAATATTGCAAATAATGTGGTTCATAGCAATTCAGACTATGCCTCTATGAAATATCATCCTATGGATATTATCATCCTATGGAAATTGTTCAGTTTTGTATCCATCTGTAAATTCATGTAGGCATTCCTTATTTGAATATTAATATGGTACTCCGTGTTCTCTTTTAAATAAACTGTAATAGCTTACTGGTTCCCTTATTAATCAATGAAATAAATAAAAGCTTTGCTGTGTTCATTATCATTTGAGAATCATGATTTTATCTTTCTAAAAACATGAACTTTTAACACTACTTTATAAACCTAAAGAACGAATGAGCTGTGTCTACCATTTTAGAAATACTAATTTCATTTTCTACTAAAATTAGGGTAACTTTCCCACACTCTTGCAAGTTTACAGAAACTACGGGACAGAACATTTTCCCATGTACTACCTTTTTAAATGTAAAGCACAAGGACATTTGTTGCAGATAATGCTCCCTAGAAATATAAAGTTTGGAAGAAAAAAACATTAATATGACACCAATATAAAGCCTTACAGGTAAGTTTAAAAGTACTAATGTAATATCTACTAAACAATTTTAAAAGTGTTTCAGGATTTTTAAGAACAAAAAACTACTTGAAATAATAATTTCCACGCAAGTTTATTTTCTGTATTTTAAAAACTAAATTTTTTCACTTATATGTGGAATATAAAACTGAAATTCATACACACAGACAACAGCATGGTGGTTACCAGAGGGAAGGGAATGGGGATAAGGGTAGTAAAGGGGGTCAAATATATGGTGATGAAAGATGATTTGACGCTGGGTGGTGGGCACACAACGCAATATACAGATCATGTATCATAAAAACATACACTTGAAACTTATATGATCCTATTAAACAATGTCACCTCATTTTAATTAAAAGAAAACATCTTAGGATTTTCAAAATTTTATAATTTAAGAAACCACTGACTTACATTTGGACAAATGTACAAGATAAGCACTTCAACAGTGATCACATAAACAACTATCCACAGTCTTCATAATTAATACAAAAAAGCTTTAAATTATTCCCTTTACCTTTTATTTCCAATAAGCATAATGACCATGTTGGAATTGGAATGCTGGCGGGCATCTTCTAACCAGGTTGTCAAGTGGTTGAATGTATCTCTCCTAAATATAAATGATAATTTTATTACTACTGTCAAAGGATTTCCCCTCACAGTGTACAATGAACACTTATTAAAGATAATTATTTTTAGCCACATCCACTTACGTAATGACAACAGATTTCAAATACATATTTGGATTTAAAATCCAGTGATTACAGTTCCGTTTAGAAATTAAGTATAGTAGCACTTTATTAAGTTTCAATATATAAATAATATTACCAAATTGATCAATCTGGGGTACTTTTTTATATAAGAAAATAATTTAGTTACAAATTTTTGTAGTAAATTTATATTTCAATTAAGACATACAAGTTTAAAGGCAAATAGCCAGGGCATAAAGGCAATGCTATACTTTTATTACTGTAACGACATTTATTTAGAAGAATTCTTTGCATTGACCACTGAACTGAAAAATTTCTAAGTTCTCACCTTGTAATGTCATATACTAGTAAAGCCCCCGCTGCACCTCTGTAATATGACCTTGTGATGGAACGAAAGGACTCTTGCCCTGCCTGTGAGGAAAGAAAAGGTTGAGAGTTTCCTTTAATAAATTGTCCTCTTCATTTCCTTATTATTCATATGTACAATATGGGCAGGTAGGGAATGAGTGCATAAAGGAAAGAAGGGAACCTAACTTCACCAATCTTAGGAAAAAGTCACATACTACTACTATTGCTCAAGTCAACCAGACAACCAGATGCACATGCAACCTCCCTACCCCCAAGACCTCTTTGGCAATCCCTGACAACCCAATTTACTGAATGGCTTCACAATACATGAATCATTATTAGAGCACAGAATGGACTCCTAGCAACTAAGCTCTGAAGACAAATTTGAAAGGAAGCAAATAACCCAGAGCCTCACATTTGAATTCAATAACCCACTCCCTGGGGCAGCTGTTGACACTAGAATAAATAAAGTCCATTGTAAATAAATGATGAATGACATCTTTACGCCCACCATCTGCTGGTATAAAGGTTGTTGGAAGGCCAAGGATGCAGATTTTATCAGTTATATCACAAACTGCAGTGAGCTTTCAACAGTCATCAGATGGAATTCTTTGAGCAATCATTTTATTATGAAAAACAGAAAATGGTTCTGAATTTAATTTATATAATTTTTCTCCACACTTAATCAATTTTCTCTGTATTTGATATATAATGCTGTCAAAAGGCAACAGGATGTAAAAGTCATCTTTATATCCACTTGTGAAAACAGACTTCAGAGATTATGTAAAATTAGTTAATTTCTCTTTTACTGTTGGCACTAATGTTGTTTTTCAAGAAAGGATGGTAAGGAATATACCTATTTCCTTTAAGATTAAAATTGAGACAGTTCTTACCAAAAATACTTTTTCTACCTTTGAGAAAAATATGTAAATTAAGTAAACATAAAGCCAGTTTTCAGAATTTTTGTATTCAAAACCTACTAACTTCTTGAAACATATTTATGTTTGCATGTTCTGAATTCTGATGTTCTAAGGCGAATATTAAGCCCTTCTTACTCTCAGTAAGCACACAGACAACTCAAGTTCTGCCCTGTTCTAACACTCAATACTTTATAATTCCTTGTTCTTCTTGGTCCTCCCACCATACTCCCTCCTTCCCATGCCCCCACACCCAGTGCCCAGCCCGGATCTGGCACACAACAACATTCAGACAAAGCCTGTTGAGTGAAAGAATGAATCCTGGTGTCATAGTGCATCCCACCTAAATAATTATACATGCCAGTAAATCATAGCATGCTAAGATTCAGTAAAATAACTTCTATGTGTAAACTAAAGATTAGACCCTCATGCGCAATTCTGGCACTTAGAATAATGTCACGCTAAATTAGATACTGAGAAAGCCACAGATAAAAGGGCTGTAAAAATAGCCAACTCATTTCACATAGATTGAGGTAAAAACACTAGCTGTTACTAGATGGAAGCATGAAATTAATTACAATTATATTAATATAATTTATTGGGATGTATCTTTCAAAAAAGACCTTTCAAATTCAAGTTCAAAATTGCAAGCATTATGGGAATTTCTCCTTTAATTGTTTAGCATGGAAAAACTAAGGACTAGATTTTTAAGAGATTCATTTCACCGTGAATTATATGTACCAAGTCTGTGGTAAACAACACAAAAAAAGATAAACGTTTTATTAGTTTAAAATAAAAATCAGTTTTAGAGTTCTTGTATCTGCCACACCTAAACACTGAGTAAGGTGAAAGTCCTTTAAAACAATCTTGCTGGAACATTCGGTGGGACGAGTTAACATAAATATACTACTAGAGGAACACCACTACAGATCTAAAACTTCCGTGTTTACAGCCCAGATAAGAAATAATAAAAGGGAAAATAGTTCAGGAAAAGGAGAAAAGCACACATCCATATACTATTCCCATTCCTCCCTAATTATTTTACCAAAAACAAACATGTTGCAATATGGAAATAACATATACACACCTTATACTGAATCCACTGAATCAGGACTTTGCCCACCATTATAAAAATCAAACAAAATGCAATTAAAACCCCTCACAATTCCAAGTGAGGACTATGAATGTCAAATGTATCTTAAAAATCTCTGATTACATAATAAGCAAAGACCAGTATTCAGGATAGTTTCCAAATTCTTGAGAGCTGACTTGTAGGAAAATACCCTACACTCTGGCCTAGTTAATGGCACTAGTAGCCAAAAAAGATTTTGCTCAAGTAAGTGTTTTACTATGGCTTATCCTATATAATAAAACCCTAATATGCAAGTCGACCAAATAGCAGAACGACGGGTCACTATTATGCGCACTGACCACCAGGGGGCAGATGCTCAATGCAGGAGCTGCCCCTGGTGGTTAGTGCACTCCCACAGGGGGAGCACTGCTCAGCCAGAAGCCGGGCTCATGGCTGGTGAGCGCAGTGGTGGCGGCAGCCAGGCGGTAAGAAGTGAGGGGTCCCGGAGTGCGAGAGGGCGCAGGCCAGGCTGAGCACGCCCCCCCTTCCCCGAGTGTACAAATTTTGTGCACCGGGCCTCTAGTCCAACTATAAACAAGCAACAGCTAACTGCATAAAGCTAGCCCAATGGTTACGTAATCTAGTTTTAAAAAAACACTTATATAAACTTGTCCAAACTGTGATTGACCTATAGTGTTTTAAATGAAAAAGAATACCAACTTAGGAAATAGAGATTTTTTTCCCCCTCTGCCTTAGATTTATTTGCACAATAAATGTACACAGGGGGAAACCAACTCCATGCAGACAGCAGCCCAGGAGTCACAACAGTCCTTCTGTCCTCACATTGACAAAGGCCTCTACTGTGGAGCCTTCGTGGGGGCCTGGGTACCTTTGGGAGTCTGAGCTGGAGCCTATGCTGCAGCAGCAGCCTGGCGCTTGGTTTGAGCCTTGTCCTTGGACTTTGGCTGGCAGAACCTGAGACCCTTGGCAACGCGGGCATAAGCACATTTTCCAAGCTTAGGGTGAGCAATGCAGGTAAGCTGGCTGAGCTTGCAGCTGCTGGGATCTTGGGCTTGACCTTCTTGGGCTTTATAAGGGCCTTGATAACCTTGGCAGGTGCACTCATGGCCTTGGTGTTGTTGGCCTGCATCTTCTTCAGGCCCTTCTTACTGTACTTGTTCCTTAGGAACCTGGGGTCTACACTCGTAAGAGATTATCTTTGTGGTCAGGGTTTCTTGATACCATTTCTGTGCCATTTTCTTTTGGTGTGGTTCTTGGACTTGGTCATATTGACACTGAAGCCCACTAGAGATATTATCCGCCCCCCCCCCCCCCCCCTACCCCCCCCCCCCCCATGGGGAGAGGAAGGGGGAAGGGAAAAGGAAAGGAGGGGGAAGGGAAAAGCATGCTCCTTGGAGGGAGAGGCTGAGATGTTATTTTTTAAAATATTTCTATTGATTTCACAGAGAGAAACATCAAGAAAAAGTTGATGAACAGCTGCGGAAGGAGGCCAAATAGTTGGGCCTCCCAAAGCCTCTCAGTTCTGGGAGATGGGGGGATGGGAGCAGACAGGAGTGACAGAGGCAGGATTGTTCCCAGTGCTTGGTTCCAGGCCCTTTGCCTAAGCCCCACAGAATTCTGATCATCCATTCTTACTGGTTCATTGATATACAAAAATATTCATTTTTCGCGGTGAGGAGCTGGGTATAAACTGACATATTTTATAAAGGAGTGAAAAAAATGTCTGTGATTTTCTGAAAAGGTATTTTTAGCGTGTACATTTCACATGATTTTTTTACATAGTTTCACAAACTTTTACATGATGTAAACATATTTGTAAATATAAAATAAAAATATTTCTAGGGAAATTGAGTAGATATACAGACTTAAAACATCCATATTACAAATTTTGGGTGAGAATAAAATTTACTTGGAAGGTGAATGAAAAACTGACAACAAGCAAATGATGAGTAAGAATAGAAAAATGGGTGGATAAAGGCTAGATGAGGGTCTAATAGTGAGACTAAGCCTTCTTGAGCCCTTCTGCCACGGGTAAATGAATAGGAACTGGGTGCAACTTCTGTTCCTTCATTGACTTACTGTAACAGAGACAAAGAATATCACACATCTGACTTCTGATAAAAGATAAAAAGTGGCACAGGGCCAAGGAAGAGTGCTTTAAGGGAGGCAGTGATCTGCTGCCAGCAAGGCCTCCAGAGGTATCTGCTGGTAGCTGGACTTAACTATTTTCAAAAGAAAGCATAGATGGCAGATGTGGATATTTTCAAGGAAAATGCCTTACTTTTATTTTTGAAACTGGAAATGAATACACAATGGATGACAAATATATTAAGATATTGAGACTTAGTCATGGGGGGGGGGAATCATTTCTTTAAAGCTGATACAATTAACCATAAGATTTAGAAAAATTTTCCCTGAAGGATTCTAGAATAATTTTGTAAATGTCTTGGGCCAGGAATAGACATGATTCTTACTTAAAGTGCAGCTTCCTATCCAAGGTATAAAGAAACTACAAAACAACAATATGGGAAATTGTTTCACTCAGATATAAACTAAGTGTGGAACCAACCTTAATCTTTGTCAGATAACATACAGTAAAGAGTTTTGGAAATCAGGTATGAAAGGAAGAAAACCAATGACAATAAGAGAAAAATCTATTCAGAAAACAACTTTTAAAAGAAGTTTTTTTAACCATTCCTTAAGTTCTGGATCAAGCCACTGGGTCCTAGCACCCTCCAGGTGAAAGCCCTGGATTTCTTTGGGGGAGCGGGGTCATGATGTCTTCAAAGGCACCACCCTTTTAGACACAGGAAAGAAAACTACCACTTAATTTTTCTGATACTTAGCCTTAGGCAAGGGAAACAAAAGAAAAAATAAACAAATAGAACTACATCTATCTAAAAAGTTTTTGCACAGCAAAGGAAACCATCAACAAATGAAAACCCACTGAATGGGAGAATATATTTGCTAACCAATATCCAAAATTTATAAAGAACTTATAAAACTCAACACCAGGAAGGTAAACAATCCAATTAAAAAATGGGCAAAGGACCTGAATAGACACTTCTACAAAGAGGACCTATAGATGGCCAATGGACATATGAAAAGATGCTCAATGTCACTAATCATCAGAGTTGCAAATTAAAACCACATGAGATAGCACCTCACAGAATGACTATCATCAAAAAATCAATAAACAAGTGTTGGCCAGGATGTGGAGAAAAGGAAACCTTTGTGTACTGTTGGTGGGAATGCAGATTGGTGCAGACATTATGGAAAGCAGTATGGAGTTACCTCAAAAAATTAAAAATGGAACTCCCTTATGACCCAGCAATTCCACTTCTGTGAATACACGGAAGAAACCCAATATATTAATTCGAAAGAATATATGCACCCTTATGTTCATTGCAGCGTTATTTACAATAGCCAAGATTTGGAAAAGTCCAAGCGTCCATCAATAAGTGAGTGGATAAAAAAGCTGTGGTACACTTACACAATGAAATCGGACCCAAAAAAAAGGAAATCTTTCCCTTTTGTGACAACATGAATAGACCTGGAAAGTATTATGCTAAGTGAAATAAGCCAACCAGAGAAAGACAAATACCTTAAGATTTCACTTACATGTGGAATCTACTGAACAAAGTAAACTAACAAGCAAAATAGAAAACAGACTCATAGATACAAAGAACAACAGACTAACAGCTATCAGAGGAGAGGGGCTAGATGAAAAAGGTCAAGGAGATTAAGCAAAGGGAAAACAACAGTATGGTGATAGACACAGACAACAGTATGGTGATTACCAGAGGGAAAAGGGGGCTTGGGAAGGTTAGAAGAGGGTAAAGAGAAAGATAAATGGTGATGAAAGGAGATGTGACTCGTGGTGGTAAAAACAATACAATATACAGATGGTGTATTATAAAATTGCACACCTGAAAATATATAATTTTTAAAAATATATTTTTATTAATTTCAGAGAGGAAGGGAAAAGGATAGATAGAAACACCAATAATGAGAGAGAATCATTAATCAGCTGCCTCCTGCACACCCACTACTGGGAATCGAACCCTCAACCTGGGCATATGCCCTGACCTGGAATCGAACCGTGACCTCCTGGTTCATCGGTCAACGCTCAACCACTGAACCACACCAGTTGGGCTTTTCTACTCTTTTTTTTAAAAAATATATTTTATTGATTTTTTACAGAGAGGAAGGGAGAGAGATAGAGTTAGAAACATCGATGAGAGAGAAACATCGATCAGCTGCCTCCTGCACACCTCCTATTGGGGATGTGCCCGCAACCCAGGCACATGCCCCCGACCAGAATTGAACCCGCGACCCT